ATTTTGAACATGTTTTTGGCTGAATTGAACCACATTTTCTCCTTTCCAGTCTGATCTTGTCACATAATTGGTACAGTGTTTCATTTACAATGCAACCTGATTGCATTTGCATGATTTTCTTGAAGTTTCTGCAAAAAATTGTCATTAATCATGCAGAAATCACAAGAATAAGGCCTTACTTGCAAAGATTTGAACTGGGAGTGTTGAGGCTCCCGGTTTTGGGAGCCTCCACATCTGGTCTCTGATGGGTTAAGGGAACTATTTTAGCCCGTGGGTTGTTCTGGAAAGCAAGATTAAACCCAACTCACTCACTCACAAACCTGTGGTTATTTTTCCTACTCGTAACAAGCACTCTGAAATAAAACGAATGTCATTAAGTCCAGACCAGGGACCATATATAAATGATCTCTGGCCAGACCAGTTTAATTTCTTATTTATGAAACCTCCTGTCATATTTTAACAACACCACACAGACAAAAGAAAAATCTGTCCTAATATATAACCCTGCACACATAAAGTAATATGTCAAATATAACAATTGTGATGTTATTCAGGCATGAAAAAAACTCCCCCACACCCCACCCACCCTTAAAAAAGGGAGGAAAGGATTATGGTATACATAATGGGAACTTGTGTAGTATTATCAATGTTCATGTGTCGCTGTCTTATATGACATATTCTTCAGAGCTGTTGCCTGCCATGATGTAAGATGTTCCTTATCAAAACCTAAGAATCTCCAATATGACTTCCATCTTCTAAATGAAAATATCACGTTTTAGGTAGTCACTTCTAATTTTGAACTTCTTAATCATGCATTAGTTACCCAATTTTCAGCCAGTCACTTGGCCTTTAATACTGTTACTTGAGTATGAAGTAAACTGAAGTAACAGTATTTAAGGTGTAGTTAAGTCAGGGCTTTTGAAGGAGGCCCTCCTAAAGAGCAGGGTGGAGTTCTAATGTTGTGTTTATTACCCGGGTACCCACTCTAGGTCTCAGGAGATGTCTCAAAATGTCCGATTGGGATATTTTTTAGTATAGGTACCCGAGTTACCCGTCCCAGCCCTGGTATTTATGTAACAGTAACCAACAGAATGCCTTACTTTCCTGTTGGATTACTGTCAGTCAACAATCTTACCATATGCAGTTACATCACAGATACCGCCATGCTCAGTGATTATAATCCTCAGTAATGAGCCACCCAACTGTGCAACTCATCTCTTTTATGAACAATAGAAAGAAAGATATGCCAAAATATTCTTTGCTAGTCAAACTATCAGTCAAGCAAAATGGGAGGTCCAGCGAGCAGGTGTTCAGAAAGCCCTGAGTTGACTTGGCCCTTAGCTGAAAACTCTGAAAGGAATTGGCAAAACTAATTTTGTTCTATATTTGTGAAGTTACTGTTATAGTTTTCTAACATTCCTGTTTCAGTTTTCTTTGCATGTTTTACAGTAATATACATGTACCTATTTCCTTACATTAACTTATCCTGGTATCCTAAGACTATAAAAATTCTTATTTACATTTTATATTTTTAGAAATCATCATGCCTCCAGCAGCCTTAGGACAGACTTTGTATGAAGCCATTGAACTACTTCTCAGTGGAACAAATGTACCAGTTAAAGAAAGAACTCAGCTACAGATAGTAGCATACAAAAAGATCAGCCTGTATAAACTTGAGTTGAAGATGATTCAAAACCCTGCATCTGGGAAGCAGGAAAAGAGGATTGTAACGAAAAGCAAAATAGTTGCCAAAAGGAGTGAAATTAAACACATCATAAGAAGTTTCAGCAAGGAAACAAAAGGTGCTGGCTCAAAACGATTGTATAATATCATATCAAAGTACTTTCATGGCATAAGGAGATCACAAATTCTTGACTGGCTAAAGGAGAGTAAAACTATGACAAAGCTCCGGCCACAATTTTCAAATATAGCACCAATGAAACCAGTGTATTCCAATGCTCCCATGGAGAGACACCAGATTGACATTGTGGACCTGTCTGCAGTAGCAGAAGAAAAAGACGGGAAAACATACAAATATGTGCTTTCGATTTTGGATAACTTTTCCAGATTTCTGTGGCTTGTCCCAATAACAGATAAGTCTTCAGAAACTGTAGCAAAATCGTTGACTGAAATTTATTTAGACCATCAGTGGGGCACCCCTAAAATCATCCAAACAGATCAAGGGGGTGAATTTAAAGGCATGGTGAAGACCCTCTGTGGCAGACTTGGCGTGCGACTCATCCATTCGAGGGCCTATCATCCCCAATCCCAAGGAAAGGTATGTTTAGCACACCTGATAAAGGGGCTACTTATAGTATTTGCACTGTTTTGTCAGCTGCTGCAAACTGTCTTGGCTATTAGTTTGTTGCAAAGATCCTTTCGACTCATATTGCAGGCATAGTACCTGCCTTTTTTAATCGGGTCATCATGAAGGTCAAATGTCGAAGTATGTTCAGGTTCAGATTCATGAGTATTAAGCATAATCACTACACTGCTAAATGGCAACATACTTTTCATCAGTAAGGACTTTCTTTCTTAGTATTGTTGTATGGTATTGTAGCTGTTGGGACAAACATAGAATGATGGGACAAACATATGCAGACGTGCCTAATCTACCAGTTTCCCATTTTACATCCAGTGTATTTGTTTGCTGGCCTGGGGATTATGTATTCCACATATGCAATCAGTGTTATCAATTTTAGGGACTAAATCAGCAATTTCAAACAGATTTTGTGTCTTTACTCCATTTATCTTGCCCTTTATGTTTGGATTCAATATATTTATATAACATTCTTTTCTTTTGAAAACACATTACTTTATCTACTACTTACCAGTAAAACATCCCGTCAAATACTAGCCAGAACATGAAAACCCCTACTTACATAAGATATTATTTGCTTGGACTGGGAAAATAATCTGCCTGTTTGGGGTGATCAAGAGTTTGCAAGTATGCATTTGACAATAGGTTATTCACATTTTTGTTTGTAATTTAATGATCTCTTGAATATTCTGACTCTTTTTACTAACACTTCCAGAGTGAGCGGTCACACAGATCATGGAAGGATTGTCTCCGTTATGACATGCAGAATCTTGGTGATGTTTCCTGGGTGCACTCACTGCCAGACTATTGTCGGATTCACAATGAATCTCTCAATACATCACTTGGTGAGCATTTAAATCATGTAAATATGTTGAACAAACTGAGTTTTTGTTTATGTACATTCAAATTGTACATGAAGATATTTCATAAAGATTGTCGATTTATCAATTTAATGATGTTGCAGTGTTACATGCTAGCTTTTAATAGCATGACTTTGACATGTTCATTAAACTTGCTTTAGAACAATGGAATATGCAAAAACTTTGCCAAAGAACATCGTACTAGCATATATGTTAAAGAATCATGAATATTAGCACAATATTCCTGAACTAATGAAACTTATTTTTGGTCAGGTGTATGTCCATATAAAGCGATGTTTGGCTTTGAACCCCATCGCTTGACAAGACTGTTGAAGGCTGGTGGTGATGGTGTTGAAGACTGCGAGGTGGAAGAGGTTGAAGAACAGGAACAGATGGAAGTAAGAACTGTGTACTTAAAACTAAAATGAATTTTCTTAAATCCAGAATCCTCCATAAAATGCTGACATGCTTACAGTATCAGGAAAAATGTGTCTGCCAAAATCAAAATTATTATATTTAACTTGAATGACAGGAACCACTTTTGCTCTCTCTTTTTTTGCCTTCAGAACACAAAAAGTCAGATGTAAGTGTTAAAAATACCAGGAAGTCCCAACATTGTGAAGTTATAAACTTCAGAAGTGACCAAGAGACGTTTACTTAAGCCGGGAAAGTAAAACAATCCTATAATGCATAATTCAGTTAAGTCATAAGAAAGACTAAACATTTTTAAAGTAATTGAAGTTAATAAATACAAGTTTGTTTGTAAAAGGAATACTAATATATCATAATAGATATGTTACGTACCTTGTGGTTATTTATTCTCAGCCAAAAAAGATTTTCAGTTTTCATCTTTAAAAAGTATTAACATTTCAAATGTTGACCAGTGAACAGAGATTTTCAATACATATACATTTGTTTCTGATAGGTCATATCTTCATATTGCATATGTAACAGTTGTTAAACAAACTGAGATAAGTTTAAATTTTTTGCTTAAAGTGACCATCAGAATAATACCATTTCTTTGTCAAAAATGTACTTTTAGTATCAAGTGACAAGACAATGGTTAGCAATATGCATACCCATAGCTAACTCATTTCAGATTTAAATTATCATAAGTATTATAGTAACATTTGTGAAGTCATAGAATGATGCATTGTGGGAAAGTGCTGTATTAGAAGTGTTTGAAATCGGAAATTACATTCCCTCAATTTACCAAACATTGAACATTGACATTTTCATTGTTGAGTGGAATATTTTTTCACAATCTTTACACCATGACAGGACTATTTGTGATGATGGTATTATATTATCAAACACAAGCACTAACAAGAAGTGAAAAGCAAAAGTTTAGGTTGTCACTACTTTATTATAATAATTGATACTGATATATATAATTTGCAGGCTAGCAATGAAGATGTGACAGTATCAAAAGATGTGTGTGCACGCTTGAAAGAACTTAGGAATATCAGGAAAGACATCTGCAACAAATCGGATAAAACTTCAAGAAAGATGGTTGAGAAAGGCATGAAGAGGAAACCTTTGGTTGACTATGAAGTCGGCGAGATTGTGCTAGTTCGCCACAAGGGTCTGGGAAAGGGCGTGAAAAGAGGTGGGAGAAAAATAACTTCACCAAAAGCAAAGGAGGGAACTATTCTCAAAATCAACAGTAAAACCCATACATTTAACATTAAAATTGGAAAAGCTGTGTCTTGGCACAAATTGGAGGACATAACCTCATTGACTCAATCCAAGGAAGACAAGAGGTCTAAGAAAAGAGACAGGAGTCAAAGCCCTCGTCGAAGCCCTCGTCGAAGCCCTCGTCAAAGCCCTCGTCGAAGCCCTCGTCGAAGCCCTCGTCAAACCCCTCATCAAACCCCTCGTCAAAGTAGGTTTTATTTCATTTTAATACTCATAATAGCAGAACAACAAACCCCATGCATCATTTCAATAAATTCCCAAATTTTAGTCACTCTGACAATCCAAAAGGTATTTCTTTCCAGTTCATTCTCACAAAGGTGAAATCTTTAGGCTTGTAAAAACAAAACTTCCCTTATGCATGTCGCCTTCCTGAGAATGTCTCCAGTAACAGAAACAATGGAAGGTGACGATGTGTTCACATCATGTTGGATAATTTACTATTATTGTTGTGTTTTTGAAATATCTTGTTAAAAAAATTAAGGAAGGCAGATGTTGGTTTGACATATATGTAGCATGACTTCAAAACTATACACAAATACACCATACAACAGGAGGTAAACTAAAAAAACGTTTTTGTTGCAGGTGTAAAGAAGACATTTACACCTGCCTTTACTTCAGATGTGTGTTCAAGTGAAGGTAATACTTTACTGTCTGATTTTATTAGGGCATAATAATCAGTCAATTTAACTCACAAAGATGCCCTTTATACTATTTGTGCAACGACTTATAACCTCAGTTATGTGATATGATGTTAATTTTAGCCAGCACACTGGACTGAATGCCGTTATGATGATTGGGTAACAAATCCTTCTCAGAAAAAATATAAGAAGGGAAGGTTAGGACTTCATAGAGCAATTTATATTCTTTATTACTGTTATTATTATTGCCCATCATTATTTTGAAGTAGAAAATTGAGAAGAAATGAATGAAGTATATAGTTTTTAAAGAGATGTACATTGGTCTGGTATTACATGATGTCAACTTTGATCGAATAACAATAAGAGCTGAATAGCATGAAAGTGTATACCATGTAAATACCCTCTAAGTGCAACAATTTGCCATTAACTGACCTGATGATATCAATTGTAAAGCATGCTATGATGGTGAGTGGTATTTAAAGCAGGACTAAGTAAACATGCAAAGTTAACTACTGGGGTATCATGTGTCATGTACTTCGAGCGTAACCCTTCATGGTTTTGAATTTGACACTATATAGGTTTATAAGGAACTTAAACCAGTCTTTCTCTTTCAGCTGAATTTATCGAAATTCTAGAAAAGCTGAAAAGATTCAGCAGTTCCCGAGCTACACCAAATAGTTTGGAAAAACTGGAAGAGATGGCTGGCAAGAGAGGTTACGCTGTTCGACATAACTTAGGAGGTGGTGACTGCATGTTTCTTGCACTCAGCCAACAGATTTATCATCAGCTGGATTTAGAGGTCAATGCCCTTGAAGTCAGGGACATGGTGGTTGACCATCTGCAGAAAAACCCCCGAACGGTAAGTATGGTAGATGCAATAATGACATGAAGGGAAAACAGCAGATTTAGTCCTTATTAATTCCACTGTTATAGCTATTATATTATAACGACTTATACTGATAATTTTGTATAGGGCATTAATATGACTTACTCTTGAGGTTTATACTATTCTAAAGTACCAGAAAAACATGTTTAGCATATATCTTGACATTATTTTGTAAACTGTAAAGAGTTACAAGCTAGACCAGTTTAGTTGATGCCCAGATCTTGATCAATATTGTGTAATCTTGAAGAAAAAGCAAAAATGGGTTTGGTAATGATAAACTTAAATTGAAAGACAATAACCATGACTTTATTCCAAAGACTTTGAGGTCCTACTACTATTTTTTTTCTACCATGATGTGTGCATATGCAGTTAAGTTCTTATCTTTTGTTAGGTTAACATGGTTAATTGAATATTAATTCTGGCCTGTATAAAAAAAATAATTTGACTGGTGGGATAGGCAATTTAATGTAAATAAAGTATGTATTTCAGATTGATGGTACACATCTGAGGAACTTTGTTCCGGAAAAAAAGGAGTGGAACACATATTTGGACGAGATGCTGCAGAAAGGGACATGGGGAGACAATCTCATGCTGATGGGAGCGGCAGACGTCCTAGAAGTCACGATTAAAGTCATTAGCACATGGTCAGATGAGCCCATAGTCATCAAACCCAGGGAAAAAAAGGCCAGCCTCAGAACACTATGTCTAGGTCATCTGGCAGAGTTCCACTATGTCAGCTTGGAAAAAAAAGGTACCCTAGCGTTGAGAATTCTTGTAAGCAGTGAGTGCAAACTATTAAGAGTTAAGTGATAACTGCTATCATCATCTATATTTCCCTTTGCTTATAGTCGTATCATGTAGATAGATCACACATCTCTGCCCTTGAATCAATATCTGTATCTTAGACTAGTTTAAACTATTCCATATAATCTGGGTCCTAAGTGTGTCCCGTCATATAATTTTAAAACCTAATGTAGATACTCCGTTCATGGGTTAAAGTAGTGTGAAAGTGAACGTGATTAATAATATTATTACTGTAGTAGATTTTACATAAAATGAGGCTAAGTTCCTCAGATTTATTCCAGTATCTCCCAATTTGAGATCAAGCACCCGCAGCATTGCTTTAATGTAAGTCAGCAAAATAATAAATATGTAGTGTTGTTTCATATTTTTTCCTTCAAATAATCTTTCTATTCTTCAGACCAGAAGTGCAGAACTTGCCACCAAACGCTAAGTGTCTGCAGATGTGCTGTAAGCATTAATGGTAAGAGAATGTAAATGTTTCTTTAACGTCACAGAAATGCTAGTGACAACTTTTCAACCTACTGTGTCACAGGCATGGGCTGGAACTTCTCATTTGGGCATATGTGGGAGGCAATTAAAGCAGGCAAATTTGTTTCCTTGTATTGTGCGCTAAATATATATAAAATCACTATCAATAAAAATAGATATGTAATTTGAATTTTTACTTCTAATTGATTTTCCTTTCTTATGAAAACTAATTAATAGTTAAATGAAGTTTAAGTAACATGAACTTTAAGTAACATCTGAAAAGACTTAATGTTTTCTTGTTCGTTAAATTGCAATGGAGATAATTCAGTGTTGTTTATTTTAACTCTGTTTTTGTTATTAATTGTTTCATGTTTTCAGTAATGTACTTTTGTGAACATCTATTGAAAGTGTTAATTGTACGTAAGTGTAATTTTTCCCACAGCTGACGCTTCTGACAATGATGACAGCTGTAGGTCACCCAGTCTATCAAGTGGAGATGAATCAGACAATGATGGTGTGTGTTTACTCCTAATAAAACAAAGTCTCATTCTTAACACAAGATTCTTTTGTGTCACAATCATTTCCATCCATAATTATACCCCCGTTTACGAAGTAAATCGGGGGTATATAGCGTTCCGTTCGTCCGTCCTTCCGTCCGAGCTTTTGTACGGCCCATAACTTTTTAACCATGCACCCTAGCTTCACCAAACTTGCTACACACATTTACCACAATGAGTACTTGTGCCTTTGGCTAGTTTGAAGATTCTGATTTTTTTATTTTTGCTGTTTCCATGGAATCATGGTGAAACATATATTTTGGGTAGAGTTTTTGTACAATCCATTTTTACAATATTATGTATCCTAGCTTCAAACTTGCTATATTAACCACTATGATTGTTTTTTATCTTTTATAAGATTCTAAAAGTTTTCTATTTTGCTGTTTTCATGGAAACATGATGGAATTTAGAAATTTTGATGTCTGGTTTTGTATAGCTAATATATTTTCCAAAATTGTTTCCACTCATGTAGATCATCATAAGTATCTGTGCTTTGTGTTAGTTTGAATTTATGAATTCTTTACCATATTTGTAAAGGCTAGATGGAAATTATTAATTTATTGATTTTCTTATATGATACTGTTCCATTTTTTATGTGTTTTTATATCAACAATTTTTGGTCCTTTTGATAAATCTTCTTATGTAACTCCTCATTCAAATTTTTATTCAAAGGTGTTCATGGTGATCTACTTCCTCGTAGTGAACACTGGTAACATGGGAGATTTTGGGGGGGTCAATTGTCACTGGAACTCAATCTTAGTTTTTAAAACATTGAAGTTAAAATCAGTTAGAAATATGTAATATTTCATTAATTAACAAACTATTTACTATTTGTTGTTGACCAGCGGGGATAACGGGGGTATGTGAGCTTTGCTCACTTCTTTCTTGTTATGAAATTGATATCTCTGCTGTACAAATTAAGAACCATGATTTTCATGATTAACTTCTAATGTAGAATTTCAAATCTTTATAATACTATTGTATTGTCACCTTTGATGCTTTTTCATTTAATACAAGAGGACATACTGGGCATCAACACATGTTTTTGTTTCACATTGACCTGACATTTGTCCTTGCCCTTACCCACAAATTATCAATACGGATTAATCATGTTAATACTAAAATTACTTTAATTTACTATTCAGGTTCCCCTCGAGTCACAGCTGATTTCTTTGAAAACAAGGTGAGATATTACTACACATGTATCTGCAGAAACCATAGTACATCTAGCTGCAAGAACCATAGGACATTTAGCTGCCAAAACCATAGTACATCTAGCTGCAGAAACCATAGTACATCTAGCTGCAAAAAACATTGTACATCTAGCTGCAGAAACCATAGTACATCTAGCTGCAAAAAACATTGTACATCTAGCTGCAGAAACCATAGTACATCTAGCTGCAGAAACCATAGTACATCTAGCTGCAAAAAACATTGTACATCTAGCTGCAAAAAACATTGTACATCTAGCTGCAAAAAACATTGTACATCTAGCTGCAAAAAACATAGTACATCTAGCTGCAAAAACCATAGTACATCTAGCTGCAAAAAACATTGTACATCTAGCTGCAAAAAACATTGTACATCTAGCTGCAAAAAACATTGTACATCTAGCTGCAAAAACCATAGTACATCTAGCTGCAAAAAACATAGTACATCTAGCTGCGGAAACCATATACCAGCTGTACATATTGGGGTAGTAATTATAGGGTGCAACATCACAGAGTTATGGTTTCTGCAGCCAGACTACATCTTATGCTTAAACTTAATTATACATATCTCTGACATTAATTATGTTTGATTTGTCATAACACTATCCAGAATTCCCAACTACACTCAGCTGCCAGCTAGACTTTCTTAATGAGTTCAACTCAGATCCCCCTGTTTCCTACCCTGCAGTACCTTGTCTTTGCTATCATGGACAGGCTGAGGGACTAGTTGTTGTTTTAGTTTTAGGACTTTATAAATTTTGATTTTTTTTAGTTTCCATGGCAACAAGTTGGACTTAGCATTAATATGAGGGTAGGGTTGGTTCGCAGAGTGTAACTGAAAAAACGTTCAATACTTTCTAACAAAACTTCTGAAATGGTGCCTTTTAATATTTAGAAATTTTTGAATGTTTTATTTTTTTAACATTTTTATGGCAACAAGTTGGACTTCTATAAGGGTAGGGTTCATTTCCAGAAAATAACTGCTAAACCATGTAGTATTTTGAATCAAACACATGCTGAACTGGTGCCTTTTGCTGTTCAACAATTTTAGAACGTTTTATTTTAAGGTTTTCATGGCAGCTATTTGAACTTGGGCTTAAAGAAATGTTGGGTTAGTTTACCTGGTTTCGGACCATTACATTTTAAGGTTGGCAGGGAATATAGATGACTTCGTCGACTATATGCTTGTTGAAATTGAAACTGTTAAAGCGGAAACTGTCTAATGAATTGACTGTTTGACTTTTCTTCACAGAAACCAGAAGTTTGCTGTTACATTAAGAGCCTTTTACAGGGAAGGTTCAGGTAATATACTCTATAAAGTACATGGCCATGGAAAATGATCTGAAGTCCTAAACATGCACATCACATCTAGCCAAAATAAACCAATTCAATGTATGTATCCTTTCCTTTTATATAACACTGTTGTTGATATTCCTGTACATCAGATATGAATATGGAAATTATTTATTGAAAGTTAACAGTCACATATACACCAATATCACACAACAGAGTCAATATAAAATGAATGTGGCATTCTTGAGGCACTTTTTTCTTTACAGTGAGGACAAAGAAGGACGTGGTGAGAGACACAACTGGTTTGTTACCAAGTATCCCTACCATGAAGTCAAGGCTGGATTTGGGTCAGATTTTGTGTCTGCTGAAGTAAGAAAATGAATTCATATGTAAAGCTAAATTTCATTAAAGTATGAGAATGATAATGTTCACAATTAATTCCTAAGTCCACAATTTAGTAGAGAAAATTTCCAAAATTTCATCGTTGAAAAAATTCCAATCCCATGACTGTAACAATTCTTATGTTGTGATAGTAATCATCATCTTATGCAATAAACACAATGTATATGTACTTTTGTTTCTGACATACACTTCTCTGCATATAGGTAAAATATAAGTGTTCATGAAGATTAAAGTAAAATGTTTGGGTGAAAAAATGGCAAATGGTTGATGAAATCAGTTGCTTAGTGAATTGTTCTTTATACATGGCAAAACAAATTTCAGATGTATGGGCACATACTTCAGTGGCTGGGGCAATCCTTGACACGCCGTCTAGTGAGGGATAAACGGTAAGAATAATGGTGAATAGTGTAGATTCTGTTCTAAACATCCAAATGGCACAAATTTAAAATCAGTGTAAATTCACAGTTGTTGTTTTGAGCATATATTTACCAGTGTTGTAACCAGAATTTTACCAAATTGAATGAGAACAGAGCAGTAGTTGAAATGTGATAAGGAAAAGTTTACATCTAAAGTATATTCACAGAAGAAACTTATCATTTGATTAGACATACAGATGAAATTGATACATTGAAAATTGCTCATAGTCTAAATTTCACATTAATGTCACTGACCACCTTTGATTCCTTTCAGTCGCCCTTACACTAAGTCAGTGACTCAGATCTTTACTGTGCCGGATGTTGATGCAAATCTCAGGGAACTTCCAATGGAGTACACACAGTAAGCACAGAAAATACAATTTATTATTCTATTTCTATCGGTGAAATACTGCATTTATTGGTTAAAATAAAACCTGCATCTTCACTGAGTTAGATATCAAAATCAAAAAGTAAACAGTGTGATGACGTAATGCGTATCACCAGTCAACAAGACGACTGACACAGTGAATGTACTGAATTTGCGAGTCATTGGTACGGTTTTCATAATATTCAGCAATAGGAAGAATAGAATAAATAGAACATTTGACTTTTCCTGTCGAACACTATGTTTATGTCATCTCGTCTAGTTGAAATTTAATTTAATTCTAAGTTTAATTTTTACACTTGCGGCTACGCCACTCACTCAATACAAACTAGTCAATTTCACTCAACAAGATAAACACTGTATTCGACAGGAAAAGTCAAATATCCTCTATACGTGTTTGTCTCCTTCAGTTAGAAAAACAAACATGTCTGTTACATTAAATTGTGTATTATGTGTACAGGTTTGCTTACTTGATTTCTGGTACATAGTTATAGGTACAATGTTGTTAGATAAATTATTATTAAACACTCACTGGAATGAATGCTAAACAGAAAAGAACCAATTTGGTGAAGGGAACAGAGATTCAGTCATATTTTGTTAGAACATCTCCAACATTGGAAAAACATTTAGTATTGTGAAAATGGAGACACCAAAGAATGAGATAATAGTCTTGTAAAGTAATAATCAACTACAATGTAACTAGTGAAGCCACTGAAAATAAATATATTCATTGTAATGGTAAAAAACTCATTCTTTGAAATTTTGGCAAATAAATGATTTCCAATTATTCCAGTTACAACTTACATTTATGAAACTGGAACTGGAGATATTTATTTTATTCTTAAAATTGAGTGTGGTTATAAATATGCTCTAATTTATTACAGGGCTGCATGGCACTACATTCTGTATGTGGCCATTAAGGAAGTAATCGTATTCCTTGCCGAGAAACTGACAGGGAGAACCTACTCTTCAATCAACCCAGAGTGTCAAAGGACAGAATTGCATCCAAAAGAGCTTTAATTGCATAATTATGATGCTCTTTTGAAAGGGTTACTGTTTTAATGAATGCAGCCAACTCATTGATGCCTTGATGTGGTTTGGTTGTTCGCTGTACCTTTCTTTCATTCACATAAGGACCAGTGAAGATTCCAGGGTAGAATAAGTCTTCAGCAACCCATGCTTGCCGTAAAAGGCGACTATGCTTGTCGTAAAAGGCGACTAACAGGATCGGGTGGTCAGGCTCGCTGACTTGGTTGATACATGTCATCGATCCCCAATCCGTAGATCAATGCTCATGATGTCAATGACTGGATTGTCTGGTCCCAACTTGATTATTTTACAGACCGCCATCATATAGCTGGAATATTGATGAGTGTGGCGTTAAACAACAAACAAACAAACAAATTATTCACATATGTGTATAGAACATACCTCAGTCTCCTCCCATTGATATATATTTCAGTTGGATATAGTAAAACCCTGTTAGTGCAGATCATTGTGTGTGTTAAACTTATCCATGTTTATGAATTTCCAAACTATTTGATGTAGCATGTTTTGGTGAATCAATAATCGAAAAAAGAATGGGGGTATACTATAGAAACAGATCTTAACGGTTCTCCTTGTTACTTACCTGATCATAAAGAAAAGGCATGTGTATCATTAAAGCAGTAAACTAGTGCTTTTAGCAATTTCTTGATTTATTGAAAGTCTTTCTGTTGACATTGAAACAATTTGAACTTGGATTTAGATGGAGTAGGGTGTTGTTCAAGATTAAAATTTAAGAATTATGAGACATGTTTTCATGAAACATGCAGAATGATTAATCAGATAGTGGACAATTGTCTTTTGCTACTGAAAAATGTTTTAAAGTTTCAAGTTGTTACTTTTTCTGGAATAAAGTTGGAGTTACATTCAGTTGAGTTGAATTTCTTCACAAGAAGAAAGTATATTAATGATATCTTCAAAAAAAAATTGGAAAATGATCAGTCAGATATTGTTGATGTGACTTTGGATATGTTTGAATATAGGCAATTTTTTATAACTTTTTTTCAGTATGTAGATTCAGTGGGAAATGGATACTGCCTTTTATTCTTATTTATGAGATTGGTGATATATTGTGAGGCTGCAGGGGGATGTGTCATATTCTTATGACTCTTGTTATCAGTGTTTGTTTAATAACATTAGCAGTTTACATTGAATGTCAAAATAAACTTTGCTAAAATATATTTAGATGTAAATTTCCTAAAAGGTGTGATTTGATCATCATATGATCATCAGTTTGTTCATTTGAAAAGCATAGCAGTAACCATTTTCTGGTTATTACCAATAATTGTGGCCGATGTAATCATTGATTAATACTTACAATTGAGTAAACCTGTTCTTAAAAAAGTTACTGAATGTTAGTAAAACAAACACACTGGAAGTTCAGCATCAAATCTTGCATAGTTCTTGCGCTCAGATTGTAACATGTTTTTGCAGGTTGGTGTCCATATCAAAGTCTATAGAACTTGAAAACATTGTATCTGGTTTTAATGAATCAATTTACCAAGTCAAGATTGTCAGGTAGAGGTATTTTCTTGACTACAGGGGCTTCAATGTACATTGCCAATAACTGATATTGGACATCACATTGGCCTGAACATATTTATACTGTATGTGTTTATTCTGTGAAAAGTTGACTTTGTAACATGTATGTCCTTTGAAGTTAGTTAATGATTAGATTGTTTGCTTGTGATCTATTTTACAGAGTTGTCATGAATTTATTCACTTGGTTTCATTTTCTTCTACTGGGTCAAAACAGATAATATTTTTCTGTTATTTTAACTATATTATTCGAATAAAAATCAGGTAGAATTGTTTGAGAATACATTGCATACAATAGTAATACAAAATATTTAAAGATCAATGAATTTCTTTATGATGCAAAAATAGAGTTCATGTGTGAGTGAATGAATGGTTGTGAATGTTTGTTCATGTATTTGTCCTCTGTATTTAACAAAGACCAAAAACATTTCCACATTTAGTTTTCTGCATGGGTCTCCAACTACCCTTTTTGTAACAGATGTTCTGCCACAATTAAATGTGAATTATAAACACAATCATGTGGAAGAATTTGTACCTCATCTACTTTTGTTTGAGCATGCATTATGTACATGAAATGTATTTATGGTTTCATTATGAGAAATAGAACTCTTCTTCAATGTATATTTTAAGTCAGATTTTTTGTTACAGAGTTAGTGTATGAATGAAAGTGAGGATTGAGTAAGGATTGTAATGAGTGCTTACTGGTATGTGAAGGACTCTTCTGTTGATATTTTATGTGAAGTAATAAAAATTATAATTGAAATTTGTCTTTGTTTCTTAAATGACATAGAAAGATAATCTATTGTAAGTCTCACACATCAGGTTGGATGTCCACATACATATATGCACAGCAGTGGCATGAATACATGTAGGTTTATTGCCTGATGGGTTAAAGAGCACATGTGCATGAAGTTTCAAATTTTAACTCACTTTCAATGACTTCTCAAAATTACCTGATTTGCTTATTTCAAAGGATATTATTTCATAAACTTTTTCCAAATTATTGAAAAAAAAGTGAGTGAGTGAGTGAGTTGGGTTTAAATGTGGCTTTCCAGAATATTTCACTGATCTCACGACGTCCAGATTTAATGTAGGAGAGCCAACACCACCATGGTGGTTAAGTGATGTAGTAAGACCTGGAGGACAATGCCGGTATCTGGCTGACAGAGGGTGTTATGCAGTATGCATTCGCAATGTAGCATTGCATCCTAATTTCACCACTGCTGCTGATGGGAATCAAACTCTGGATCTTCAGTGAGCGCCCTGATGAAACAAGTGGCTGAAGGCAGGCTCTCTAACCACTGAGCTAACCCATTCCCTCCACCCAATTGAAATATTGAACACATTGGCTTAAGTACAATATTGATGATTTCAAAGGATTTTACTTTTTCGTATGTACTATGGTGAAATACACATCATCAACTTAAGTCAACATCACAGATTAAGTTTTCAAATTTTGACTGAGTTTTAAGATTATTTTTTTTCCAAATTACTGAAACTGGACCAAATTGGCTAAAGTCCAATAATGAGGTGATTTCAAAGGATGTTATTTTTATTCTTTTTTCTATTTGTTTCTCGCCTTAAAATACATTGTAAGACTTAACTGCTCCATCATAAAATGAAATTTACAGGTTTACAGGTTTTTTCACAGTACTGAAATTGGACCAAATTGGCTAAAGTCCCATAAACAGATGATTTCCAAGAATATATTTTTCTCTTCTTTTATATGTATACCTTGCCTAAATACACATAACCAGACTTAATGGCAACATCCAAGATTGAATTTTCAAATTTTGACTGAATTTTACAAGTTTTTTTACAGTAGTGAAATTGGACCAAATTGGCTAAAGTCCCATAAACTGATGATTTCCAAGAATATATTTTTCTCTTCTTTTATATGTATACCTTGCCTAAATACACATAACCAGACTTAACGGCAACATCCCAGAATGAATTTTCAAATTTTGACTGAATTTTACAAGTTTTTTTACAGTACTGAAATTGGACCAAATTGGCTAAAGTCCCATAAACAGATGATTTCCAAGAATATATTTTTCTCTTCTTTTATATGTATACCTTGCCTAAATACACATAACCAGACTTAATGGCAACATCCTAGAATGAATTTTTAAATTTGGACTAAATTTTGAAGACTTTTTCACAGTAGTGAAATTGGACCAAATTGGCTAAAGTCCCATAAACAGATGATTTCCAAGAATATATTTTTCTCTTCTTTTATATGTATACCTTGCCTAAATACACATAACCAGACTTAATGGCAACATCCCAGAATGAATTTTCAAATTTTGACTGAATTTTACAAGTTTTTTTACAGTACTGAAATTGGACCAAATTGGCTAAAGTCCCATAAACAGATGATTTCCAAGAATATATTTTTCTCTTCTTTTATATGTATACCTTGCCTAAATACACATAACCAGACTTAATGGCAACATCCCAGAATGATTTTTTAAATTTGGACTAAAGTTTGAATTTGTTTTCACAGTACTGAAATTGGACCAAATTGGCTAAAGTCCCATAAACAGATGATTTCCAAGAATATATTTTTCTCTTCTTTTATATGTATACCTTGCCTAAATACACATAACCAGACTTCATGGCAACATTCCAGAATGAATTTTCAAATTTTGACTGAATTTTACAAGTTTTTTTACAGTACTGAAATTGGACCAAATTGGCTAAAGTCCCATAAACTGATGATTTCCAAGAATATAATTTTTTCTTCTTTTATATGTATACCTTGCCTAAATACACATAACCAGACTAAACGGCAACATCCTAGAATGAATTTTTTAATTTGGACTAAATTTTGAAGACTTTTTCACAGTACTGAAATTGGACCAAATTGGCTAAAGTCCCATAAACTGATGATTTCCAAGAATATATTTTTCTCTTCTTTTATATGTATACCTTGCCTAAATACACATAACCAGACTTAATGGCAACATCCCAGAATGAATTTTCAAATTTTGACTGAATTTTACAAGTTTTTTTACAGTACTGAAATTGGACCAAAATGGCTAAAGTCCCATAAACAGATGATTTCCAAGAATATATTTTTCTCTTCTTTTATATGTATACCTTGCCTAAATACACATAACCAGACTTAATGGCAACATCCCAGAATGAATTTTTAAATTTTGACTGAATTTTACAAGTTTTTTTACAGTACTGAAATTGGACCAAATTGGCTAAAGTCCCATAAACTGATGATTTCCAAGAATATATTTTTCTCTTCTTTTATATGTACACCTTGCCTAAATACACATAACCAGACTTAACGGCAACATCCCAGAATGAATTTTCAAATTTTGACTGAATTTTACAAGTTTTTTTACAGTAGTGAAATTGGACCAAATTGGCTAAAGTCCCATAAACTGATGATTTCCAAGAATATATTTTTCTCTTCTTTTATATGTATACCTTGCCTAAATACACATAACCAGACTTAATGGCAACATCCAAGATTGCATTTTCAAATTTTGACTGAATTTTACAAGTTTTTTCACAGTACTGAAATTGGACCAAATTGGCTAAAGTCCCATAAACTGATGATTTCCAAGAATATATTTTTCTCTTCTTTTATATGTATACCTTGCCTAAATACACATAACCAGACTTAACGGCAACATCCCAGAA